TCTTGAGATTCTGCATTGTATTTGGGAAAATGGCGAATTCAGTCTAAAGAGAACATATATCTCCTGGGATTCAATACGCCAGGATGATACGAATGCAACAGAATCTTAAAATAGTTGAGTATTCAAACTCTAAAATGATGTCTCAGATATCTCATGCTTTTCAGAATATTTATGGATCAGTTGATGAAATGCTGGGCGACAAATTTTAAAGTGTGGTTTACTAATGGGAGGATATCTAGAGAATGATTATCTGGGCTGATAAACAAATGGAAAGCTTACTTGCTAAAAGCCAAGAAAATTTTACATGCCTAGGCTGGGGAAGATCTGACAGAACTGCTCACTGTTGTCATCAAATATGTGAAGTTATTTCATGGGATGAGAAGGAAGAAGTCTTATAGAATAATAGCTGATACCATCAACACATTTTTGTTTATTTCTAAATATTTGAAATGGATTATGTCATTTAATTTTTATAATCACTCTGCGATGTGTCTCTTTCTACTTTACCAATGAGGAAACTGAGGTACTTAGAATATCACAACTGGCTCAACGGCATATAAAGCCAAGCAATAGCAGGTCTAGGAGTTGACCTCTCTTGACTGGCTTCAGGTTCTGTAGAATTCACTGCCATTATCTATGACTGGTGTCTATTATTAAAATGCAGACCTTTATGAGGAATTAAGGGGGAGGCAGTTTGGGGCTTTATATAAAGAAGACCTAGTTGACGCTGGAAGCAGTCCTGCGATGTGGCACACTATCTCAGAAAAAAAAAAAAGAGAGAGTGAGAGAGAGTTTTCTGTCATGGGTGGGTTTCAGACAGAGTTCAACTGGTGAGCTTTAAAGATGATATGAAGAGATGAGATTTTTGATATTATAGATAGTGTGGATTAACTCTAGCAAGGAGTATACATTTATATTCCTAAATCCTTTAGTATTTTTAGATCCTGGGAATTAGCCTGCATCAGAACTGGAGTGGTAGTTATTCAGGGTTTATTCACAGAGCCAAGATGTAAGTTTCTAGAGTGTTTACTTTGGGCCAGGAATTTCAAGGGCTTCAGAAAGCTTTCTTCTTCCTTTAAACATATGCGTATTTGTGCAAACAAAGTTGTTGCCCAGGCTCCCTTTTCTTTTCCAGTGTTGTAATTCTCAATCCAAGAACATTTTTTGCCTCATCTCTCAATTTTACCCTTACAACATGGCAGTGAGTGCTCACAGATTTTGCTTTGTTGTAACTCCTTCACTATTGTCACATTACTTTATAACATCCCATCCGGACTATCACAGATACCTTTCTAACAAGATCTGACTATGCCCTAGCTTTCATTCCCTTAAAGTCATTTGCTTACCTGCTAGCAGATACGAGTTTTAAAAGGCCAAAGGTCTGCCCTACCACCTACAAACTTTAAATTACTTGGCTTAAAATAACAACTTTACATTTGATTATTTCCTTTTACATTTGCCCAACTACTATTTCTGCTTATGAACTAACTTATCTGTAAAATAATTATTGATATGTATTCCCAACATATGTTTCATACTTCTGTGATTTTATACAAACTATTTTGTCTTTAAGGAATGTCCTTCTCTATCTCCTTTATCTGGCCAATATCTACTGAAGAATTATTTCCTTCAATAGCCAGTTTTATTCTGCCCAGTTTGATTAAAGATATATAAATTCATTAATCTTCATTTAATTAAGGGTTTATTTTCCCCTCTAATGTGAAATCTCAGATTATAACCATTAGCAACCAGAGATATGTCCCTCTCCATGCATCCAAGGGACATTTGGCAATGCCCGAAGGCATTTTTTGTTGTTGCTGCAAGGAAGTGCTACTGGCATTCAATGGATAGGAGCCAGAGATGCTGCTAAACCTTTTACAATACAGATGATATCTCCCACCACAAATAATTTATTTGGCTTAAAATGTCAGTCCTGGGATTGAGAAAACCTGCCCTAGAAAAATGAATTAGGGCTAATAGAAGGTGGAAGTGGAGGTGGAAATAGAAATGGAAATGAAAAACTATCCAGAAGAAAGGTCATTATTTTCTTGACATGATCTCTGGGTTTTTTGACTGAAGGCATGATGTTCCATTTTATTTACTTGCTATTTGGTTCACTTGCTTCATCATCTCTTTTTGCTGTCTTTTCTCTACTCAGTATATACTTTGTCAGAGCTTGAATTTGTGTGCTACCTTTCAAGGAGCCTCCAGCTCAGCTATTACTCATGTGGCCCTGTTAAATTAAAGCAATATTTCTGATAAAGGCAATAATATATATTTTTGAGCCAAATCAGAGATTGTTGCCCAGAATATGTGTCAACAAAAAGAGTCAAACTCTGTAAAATATTTGAAGAGATTAATTCTGAGTCAAATATGAGTGACCATGGCCTGACTCAGGAGGTCCTGAGAAACATGTGCCCAATGTAGTCTGGGTGCAGTTTGGGTCTAAACATTTTAAGGAGACATGAGACTTCAATAAAATACATTTAAGAAATCCATTGGTTAGGTCCAGAAATGGGGGCTGGTTCCAGGTTATAGGTATATTTAAAATTTTTCTAATTGGCAATTAGAAAGGAATGCCTGGGTTGTAATAAGAGGTTATAAAGATCAAAGTTTTATCATGCAGATGAAGCCTCTGGGTAGCAACAGGCTTGAGAGAGAACAGATTGTAAATGTTTCTTATTAGACTTAAGGTCTGTGCTGATGTCAATGCTGGAGAGATATAATGAGGCATGCCCGACCCCCACTCCTCTTCATGGCCTCAACCAGGCTTTCAGGTCAAATTTTAGAGTGCCCTGGATCCGGGGAAATTCCATTTAAATGGTTGAAGGGTCATAAACTTTTATTTTTGATTTATATTTGGATGGTATGTTGTTCAAAAAGTGGACATACATCAAACAGGTGGCATATAATAAATGTGTTCTACAATGTGTGTCCTACACCTATGTAGCAAATTAAAGTGATAGGGGAGTAATGCCTACCAGAATCTTAACAAGCTCACTGATGAAAATATTTTGTATATTTTTACATCACCCAGCCTGATGTAATTACACTCTGATATATATTTCTCATAATCCTTATTTATTGAATTATATTTATAAAACTTTAGAGGATACAGATTTGCTTATTTTGTTATTTCTGGGTAAAAACGGCATGAAATTTTGATCCAAGCATATTTACTTATAACAAGAAGTTTTAGGCTTTCATTAATATAATCAACTTATAATGTTAATTTCATAAGTTAAGAATGGTAAAACACTAAAATATTAAAAGATCTTAAATGAGTAAATGATATTTAACACATATTTAATAAATGGTACATGCTGCTTCTTGAAGTCCAAACATTCAGCAAAATGTAGATAACTAATAAATATGAAATAAATAAATGTATCTTTGTTTCTCAATTGCTTCAAACAATATTTGGATCATAGCGGATACTTAATAAATCTTTGTTATTAAAAATCATTAAATAATAAACATCTGATTTGTTTCTTGGATAAGTTTATTGAAAGAAAGAGATATTTCTGCAATTACCAGAGATAAGTTATACGTTCTCTTTAGTGTCCCAGAAACAATCTAAGTGTATTAGGGGAAAAAGAAAAACAATTAAACAAATAGACAATTGAAAGGTGATGAGGCCAGTGGGATGGTGAGATGTTTTTGTTGTTGTTGGCCCCTCTACTATCTTTATCTATTTCACAGTCTACTTACTAGATTTCAGAAAGCCAGTTTTGCAATTACTAAAAGAAAATACAGGTAATATGTAAATTATTCAATATTTTACATTTTTTTGTGGTGGAAATATTTTCTTGAAGCAGAGATTAATTCAGACAATAAAAAGCCCTTTAAGTTTGGATGAAGAAAAGGCAAAGCCACTTTAAACTGAAACTTGTCCCCTGGTAATAACAGAGATAGGAGGCTCTGGAAGCCTAGAGTGTTACATGTTGGCATTACCAGTGAAGGATAGAGACAGAAAAGAGGATAGAAATAGTCCTGTGAAAAATAATGTGGCAAAGAAATTCTTCACCTCTACAGAAATCATTGCATTTGAGTGGATAGAAGATATGTAGATATAAAAAGCTTTATGTAAATAAAAAGAAGTAACATTTCTTAGAGAGTTTCATGTAATTTCAAGTTGTTAACAAGAGATGATGGTTCAGGCTTATAGAGATAACAATGCCTATTTCCAGGTAATAAAAAATTAGAGGGCATATGTTGGCACTTGATACTAAATGCAAGAGATGTGCACATGGCAGAGCATGGTAGAAGAGAACAAGCTTTGATAGGAATTGCTGAAGTGAAGATCCACAAATCAAAAACAAGGAATTAATTTTGTTAGCTAATACACAGGACACGGTATAAGATATATGATTGGGTTTTGAGAAGACATTGAAAGTTTGAAAAATTAGGTTGAAAGAATTTTGACAGTCTATATGAGAAGAATCAGGCTATGAAAAAACTAACCTGAAAAAAAAAAAAACAACAGCCAGTGAATTGCAAAACTAAAAGACATTTCAGTCAAACTTGTCTTTTGATTATGATCAGAATGGTCTACCAGCACTGTGGATCTTTTCTTTATGGCTAATATAGATGAAGTCTAGTTTTAAAGTTCTTTGCTCTGCATTAAATATATTTTTTTTATAATTTCAATTGTTAGGTCACAGAGAAAGCACATATGATGAGTAGCAAATATAAAATACTGTTGATCTAGTAGTCATAAATAAGAAAAAAGCCATTTAATCCATTTAAATTTACCCACTGAAAATGATTAAGGCATGGAGAAACAGAACCTGGTGTTTATCTTTCAGTGACTTTGAAAATGGGACAGAAAATAGAGAAGATTAATTAGAATAGAAAATATAACATGATACACTCCTAATATAACTAAAATATCTTTTCCTAAAATAAATTAACATATTTTTTATTTTTAATTCACCAAGGCTCAACAGAGAATAGAAGATGAAACAGCAAATCTACTACTTGATTCTGCTGAACGAATCATGCTGACATTCAATGGCTCAGCCTTCATGCCGTCTGCATTTGCACTAATTGGGATTCCTGGTCTGGAGTCAGTGCAGTGTTGGATTGGGATTCCCTTCTCTGCCATGTACCTTATCGGTGTGCTTGGAAATTCTCTAATTTTAGTTATAATCAAATATGAAAGCAGCCTCCATATACCTATGTACATTTTTTTGGCCATGTTGGCAGCAACAGACATTGCACTTAGTACATGTATTCTTCCCAAAATGTTAGGCATCTTCTGGTTTCATTTGCCAGAGATATCTTTTGATGCCTGTCTTCTGCAAATGTGGCTTATTCACTCATTCCAGGCAATTGAATCAGGTATCCTTCTGGCAATGGCCCTAGATCGCTATGTGGCCATTTGTAACCCCTTGAGACATGCCACCATCTTTTCCCAGCAGTTCTTAACTCATATTGGACTTGGGGTGACACTCAGGGCTGCCATTCTTATAATACCTTCCATAGGGCTCATCAAATGCTGTCTTAAATACTACAGAACTACAGTCGTCTCTCATTCTTATTGTGAGCACATGGCCATTGTGAAGCTGGCTGCTGAAGATATCCGAGTCAACAAGATATATGGCCTATTTGTTGCTTTTGCAATCCTAGGGTTTGACATAATCTTTATCACCTTGTCCTATGTCCAAATTTTTATCACTGTCTTTCAACTGCCCCAGAAGGAGGCACGATTCAAAGCCTTCAGTACATGCATTGCACACATTTGTGTCTTCCTACAGTTCTACCTTCTTGCCTTCTTCTCTTTCTTTACACACAGGTTTGGTTCACACATACCACCATATGTTCATATCCTCTTGTCAAATCTTTACCTGTTAGTCCCACCTTTTCTCAACCCTATTGTCTATGGAGTGAAGACCAAGCAAATTCGTGACCATGTTCTGAGGGTGTTTTTCTTCAAAAAAGTAACTTGATCATTAGTGACTCTTATAGAGATTCAGGATTGGTTCTAAGTAAAAACCTAAATGTAATGAAAGTCACAGATAAGAGTCTCAAACCACCAGCTCAACACATATCTGTAATTCTAGCTATGCCTCACTTTTTAATAATTGCATTGAATCTATATTTTGATAAATTCGGAATCATTTATCTACTTTTTCTCAAATGATTATCAATATAAAAAATATAAAATCAGTAATACTAATATCTGCAACATAAAACTTATGTAATGCAATGAATGACCATAAACATTGAGGAATTTACACAAGAGAAAATGCAAAAAAAAATTGAAAAATATTAGGAATATTCACAAATATTACTTTTAGGAAAATAAAATCAGTGATCTGGACTTAAATGTCCTTCGGGAACCACACAGTTTTAAAGATTTTTACCTAATTTGAGTTTTACTCAAATTTGTAAGTTTGTTTTGTAATTGAACATAGAGACACATTCTGTTACTCACTGAAAGCATCTTGAGTACAAAAACTGTATCTAACTACCCTTCATCAGCAATACAGAGGACAATCCTTGAGATTTCTTAGAATATAAGTAAAAATGACATTGAATAATGAACAAAATAAACATTTTCTTTCTGTCAATTAATAGTATTCAAAAGCAACACATTTGGAGGATCTAAGGTAATATTCAATCTTATCCTACAGAAAACCTGCATGGTAGAGATTCTATTCCAATATTATCAGGGTAAAATAAAGGTGAAGACTTGAAATAATCAGTAGGCAAACCTGAAATAATATATTAACTAAACACAGAACTGGTACATAAGAAACCGCCTCCTGAATAGAGGCTTTAATAAAGACTTAGAACCAAACAAATGATTTTTATTTTTTTTAAGACTCAAGTTGACAGAGTCATCTGAATCACTAATTTTGAAAAGATGCATGGCCAAAGAAAGAAATAATACAGTAAAACATTCCAATGTAAAAAATCATATCATTCAAGAGGCAAACAGATGCATATAATTTTGGGGAAAATCTTGTTAATAATGTAGAAATAACTTTGAGGGATAATGTTTGTTTTTAAAATAAAGTTTGTCTAAACATTAACAATACTTAGAAGAAATAAAAAATACAATGACAAAAGGTAAAACAGCATGTTAGCTGATAAGCAGACATATTAAAAATTGTTGAATTAGATAAGCAAAGCTTAATAATTAAAGTAATCATTTTAATTCCACATTAGAGCATTAAATATTTCATTAGTTGTGGCATCAATAATGTAGAATGTATAATTAATGAGGAGTCATTCTCCCAAAAGAAAAAAATTTACAAATATATGAATTCTTTAAGAAAAATTAGTATACATGAAGGATAAAGAATGAAGATAGTATGTGATATTCCTAAATCGGAAACCAAAACAAACAGAATATGATGACAACTATAGATTAATCATGAGTGAATGAAAAAAATGCATTTCAAAGTATGTGGTATAAAAATGCACCAAATTATTTAAATGAAAAGAGACAAAACATCTATGTTGGAAAAAATCAACTGAAAATAAAAATTTCAACATAGGTGTATCAGAAAAAAACCACATTGTATATCCTAATCAGTACATGGTTTTATCCATTCTCCAGAGTATGAGGAAAAGCAAACAACAAAGATCTTTAAAATGCACATCACATAAAGGAAAAAAATTAAATGAATTTATGTCATAATTAGACTGGATTGGCATTTCAAGCCATTTAAACCTGTAATTAATAAAAAGGCCAATTACAGCTCATAATAATATTACTAGTTTCTATAACAATGTTGACCCTGTCCAGTGTTATCTGCTAAAGGAACCCCAGCCAGTCTGCTGAACTGTTCACATGGAATACAGCACCTGGTCTGCTGATTTCAGATAGGTCCCAGTCAGCACACAGATCTCTGTGGCTTCTTAGTTGCCTTTTGGTCTTCTTTCCAGGTCAAATTTGTTCCATGCTGAAGATATGGGATCATATTGCCTTTTATAATGTATAAAAAAGACTTGGCCTCAAAATAAAGTTGTGCACATAGTTTCTGAGAATCTGCATCAGGTATAGGATATTGGTTATCTCTGGAAGGAGGGCGGGAAATATAGTGGAAGTGCAGAAGAAAGTGTGATTCAATTGTATTGAACTTTCCCTCAATAAACTGTGATGGGTTACATGGAATTTTTTAGTTATTATGCCATATATGTATTTTTTAATTGTATAATATATTTGGCAAAAAATGATAAGTGAATATATCCCTGATGTAGTACTTGGAAGACAACTCAGTTTAACAGAAGATAAGCAGGTTTTCTAAATCACAGTAAAAATATCTCCTAATGTATTTTAGTTTCTTTAGCAAATATTTATTATTTCATTCTTTAAGAACTATGATTAGAATTTAGGATAAGGCAATGTTCATGAAGGCAATGACCATAAAGGTACAGCTCCGTTTCTTACATTCAAGTGTATATTCTATGTGTAAATATGATCTTTGTCGAATTTTTAAAACTTCATTATTGTCTTGTTTTTTCAGCTACAAAGAGAGCTATGTTAAATTTTCCTACCCTGTAGATTTTTATTTTTTCCTTTGGGGATTGATCAATATTTTCTTTTCTTTTCTTTTCCTTTTTTAAACTTTATTTTTGGTTCAGGTGGTATGTGTGTAGGTTTTTTACACGGGAAATTGCGTATCATTGGAATTTGATGTACAAATGATTTCATCACCCAGATAGTGAATGTAATATCCAATAAGTAGTTTTTCAACCCTCACCCTTTTCCCATCCTCTGACCACAAGTAGACACTGATGTCTATTGTTGCCTTCTTTGTGGCCATGTGTACTCAAAGTTTATCTTCCACTTATAAATGAGAACATGTGTTATTTTGTTTTCTGTTCCTGCATTACTTCACTTAGAATTATGGCCTCCAGCTCCATCTACGTTGCTGCAAAGGATATGGTCCCTTTCTTTTTTTATGCCTGCATAGTATTCCACGGTGTACATGTACTACATTTCTTTTTTAATGGAGTCCACTATTGATGGGCATCTAGATTGATTTCATATCATCACTATTGTTAATATCATTGTGATGTACATACAAGTATATGCGTCTTTTCAGTAGAATAATTTATATTCCTTTAGGTATATATCCAATGATGGGCTTGCTGGGTTGAATGGTAGTTGTGTTTCAAGTTCTTTGAGAAATCTCCAACCTGCTTTCTACATTGGCTAAACTAATTTACATTCTCACCGGCAGTGGGTAAGCATCCTTTTTTCCTCTACAACCTCACCAGCACCTGTTACTTTTTGACCTTTTAATATTAACCATTCAGACTGCTGTGAGATAGTACTTCATTGTGGTTTTGATTAGTGTTTCCCTAATGATTAGTGATGAGCATTTTTTCATAGGCTTGATGGCCCCATGTATGTCTTTTTTTGAGAAATAGCTGTTCATGTTCTTTGCCTATATTTTAATTGAGTTGTTTTTTGCTTGTCAATTTGTTTAAGTTCCTTATAGATTCTGGATATTATTATACCTGTTTGGATGCATATTTTGCAAATGTTTTCGCCTATTCTGTAGCTTTTCTACTTACCCTGTTGATGGTTTTTCTTGTGGTGCAGAAGCTTTTTAATATAGTTATGTCTATTTTTGTTTTTGCTGCAATTGCCTTTTGAGCTTTCATCATGAAATCTTTGCCAAGGTCTAGGTCCAGATAGTATTTCCTAGATTTGAGGTCTTACATTTAAGACTTTAATTCATCTTGAGTTGATTTTTATATATGGTAAAGGATATCCTATTCAATAAATGGTGCTGGGATAACTGACTAGCCATATGCAATCTTCTGTAACAGATACAGAGGATTGCATATGGCTAGTCAGTTATCCCAGCACAATTTACTGAATAGAACATCCTTTACCAATTACTCATATTGTCAAGTTTATCAAAGATCAGATGGTTGTAGGAATGCAGCTTTATTTCTGAATTCTCTAACCTGTTCCATTGGTCAATGATTCTAATTCTGTACCAGTATTAGGTTTCTGTAATCTTCCAGTATAGTTTGAAGTCATGTGGTGTGACTCCACAACTTTGTTCTTTTGCTTGAGATTGTTTTGGCTATGCAGTCTCTTTTTGAGTTCCATATGAATTTTAGAATTTTTTTCTAATTATTTGAAAAACGTCATTGGTAATTTGATAGGAATAACATTGAATCTGTAAACTACTTTGGGAAATATGGCAATTTCACAATATTGACTCTTTCTATCCATGATCATGAAATGTTTTATTTGTTTCTGTCATCTCTGATGTCTTTGAGCAGTATTTCTTAATTCTAATTGTAGATATCTTTCACCTCCCTTGTTAGCTGTATTTCTAGGTATTGGAATTGCATTCTTTATTGGGCTCTCACCTTGGATGTTGTTGATGTGTAGAAATTCTACTCATTTTTGTATACACTTATTTTGTATTCTGAAATTTTATTTAAGCTGTTTAGTAGTTCTAGGAGCTTGTGACCAGAGATTATGGGGTTTTCTAGGTAGAGAATCATATTGTGGGTGAAGAGAGATAGTTTGACTTCCCCTCTTCTTATTTTGATCTCTTTTGTTTCTTGTTTCTTTTCATTGCTGGATTGCTCTGGCTGGCACTTCCAATGCTTTGTTGAATAGGAGTGGTGAAAGTGGGCATCCTTGTCTTATTCCAGTTCTCAAAGGGAATGCTTCCAGCTTTTGCCTGTTTAGTATGATGGTGGGTGTAGGTTTTTAATAGACAGCTTTTATTATTTTGAGGTATGTTCCTTTAATGCCTAGTTTTTTGAAGACTTTTAACATGAGGAGATGTGGAATTTATGAAAATACTTTTCTGTACCTATAGAGATAATCATGTGTTTTTCTTATAGTTCTGACTATGTGATAAATTACATTTATTGTTATGTGTATGTTGAACCAGGCTTGCATCTCAGGAATGAAACGTATTTGATCTTGGTGGATTAGCTTTTTGATGTGCTGCTGGATTTGGTTTGCAGGATCTTGTTGAGGACTTTTGCCTCTATGTTCATTAGAGATATAGGCCTGAAGCTTTCTTTTTTTCTCTGTGTCTCTCCCAGGTTTAAGTATCAGAATGAATCTAACCTCATAGAATGAATTAGTGATTATTCTCTCCTCCTCAATTTTTTGGAATCATTTTAGTAGGATGAGTACTAGCTCTTTTTTATACTTCTTTGTAGAGTTTGGCTGTTAATCTATCTGGTCCAGGGCTTTTACTGGTCAGTAGGTTTTTTATTAGTGATTCAATTTTGGAACTTGTTATTGGTCTGCTTAGAATTTAATTTCTTCCTGGCTCAATATTGAGAGCTTGTATGTTTCCAGGAATTAATCCCTTTCATTTAGGTTGACTAGTTTGTGTTTTTCTGCATCAATTTATTTTACATAAGAAAACAAACTTAAAGTGAAAACATGTATGTATTTTAAATTAAACTCTGTATTAAAGATATTTAAGAGTAGGGAACTTCTTGGGATCGAGATTGTTTAAAAAAAAAGTCTATGATATACTTTTCTAGGAAGGACTGTCTTCCTAATTTTCTGTCTTTTAAAATAGGACCAAAATCATCTGTGCATAATTGATTTTCTTCCCTTTCTCTTAGCAAGTCTTACTCCTTACAGGGATTACTGTACTCTAAACCCTGTTCTGCCTACCACTTCCAAACACACACCTTCTTCCTTGGATCACTGAAATGCCTTCTGGAAGCCCTTTGATTGCCAAGAGTAGATCTAAGATACAATATTTGTTTTGTTTTCAACTCCCTTTCCTTACCAAGCATACAATAAGGCCGTCCAATTTGTTCAGAAATGAAATGGAATCTCAATCGATGAATTGCCTTATTTTAGTGACCCTTTTCTCTGTCACATAGGTGAGAACAATATAAACTCTATCTCTGCTGCTCTGAGAGACAGGAACATGTTTTACTAACAGAAGATGCTTCAACGCTGCCATCTCCTGGCCATATGCCAGGCCCCCAGGGGATTGAGCAAGAAGATAGCCCTTAGAAATGGCATCTATTCCTCTGGATTTAAACTTCCATCATTGCCCCAGGGAAACAACAATATCTCTCAGGATTAGAGAGAGGCTAATGACACTTTGGTAATCAGGAAAAATTATGTTACAAGCCACAAATATTCCATAGCTGGGACCAGCAAAGAGCAATCTTCCTCTGTGCCAGCCACTTCTCACGGCTACTTCTGGATATTGAGTAAGTTAGAGTTAGGAATATGTACAGTTCAAGTGAAGGTAAATAGTACATCTTGAAGTACACATACAGTTAATGAATGTAGGCTCCAGAAAAAATCCAAATCATAAACATGAAGAGTGTAAGTATATTTTTGTTAGAGTCTGACTTTGAAATTCTATGAACTACAATTAAAGAATAATAATGATAAATTGAAGAATCTGCTTTGGAAGACTGAGATGTTAAGGGCAGTTAGGATCCCACTATTGGAGAATTAATTTAGATCCACAGATGTTTTACTTGAAAAAGAGAAGGATCATGAGTGTGTAGGGAAGTTCAAACTATCCCTCTGAATGTTCCAGTCTATGTCTGTTAAAATGAATTGACAGAAGACATCGAATTTTTATCAACATGCATAAGCATAGAGAAATTTAAGAATGATTACCTAACAACTCAATTAAGTACAGGTGCTTATATATCCTTCTTTATAGAGGAGAGGAGAGATTGAATGGAACCTTAGAAGATACAATAGTTTGAGATGAAGTTCATCCGGGCTCCAGGTGTGGTGTTTAATTTTCAGTGTCTTCCTCTGTAATATGAGTTTTAATTTTTGCTGGTTAATGAATTTCAGGGAAAGGTTTGAAGGCAATTGTGTTCCTCTTTAGGTGTCTAGTTTCTAGGCAAATAAGGTAACTTCAGAGAATAAACTCATCCCATGCTTTGGGAAAGACAAATAAGTGAAAGATAGGAAAGCTTGGGGGATGTCAGAGAAACCCTGAGGTTGCTTCTTTAGTTCACAGTGTTAAAGTGCTATATGTAGGGATATTGGTTTTCTGGGCTCTAACAATATAATGATCTCCAAAACATTCCAGAGTTTAAATCTGTGATTATTATGGTGACTGGGAGCCAGGAAAGAACATAGAATAGTATTTGGATGTGATGAGTTGCATTATGGAGAAATATTAGAAATGCTTAGCACACCACTTATAAAACTTATAGATCACCTTGATTAAGACCTAGACAATTAATCACTTGCATAACCTCTCTGAACTCACATAAAAGAAAAAAAAAATTGATGCATAATATTATATTATCAGCCCTGCAATCAAACCATAGTTATTTGCTGGTATATGGTTACTAGAAATTGTTAAGTGTCCCAGCCACAGCCTTTATATTGCAATCAGAATTTTGTTTTGGCTGCTTCCCAAGGCATTTCCACCTCAACTTGTTTTTCAGTTATTTCCCGTGGAATTTCTTGGAAAATTCTCAAATAGTCTCATCCCATCATATTTTTCTTGTGTCAAATTTCCCAGAAGATAAAAAAAAAATACAGCTTTCTGTTTTCCTTCAGCAGTAAGTATCCTGATTTCTATATAAGGGTTATATCTGTTAACACTGCCTCCATATGGAGATCCAGGCTTCCAAACTCACTTACTTAACCTGACTTCTAACTACTTCAACATCTTCTTCATGGTTCCCCTGCTGAAACAACCTGAGGTCCCTCTTCTCCTAAACCAGGTACTCTTAAATCTCCTTAATTTTAAATTTATATATACATATAGATAGTTTAAATCTGTCTTTACCCTCCAATGTGTGAAAAAAATCCTGGTGTGAGAGGTTTAGGGTGCCTATATGAACTCAAGAATTTGTGTATATGACTTGTCTCCTGTATCAAAATTGGTATGGTAATACACCAAAATTATGTGACTGCCACTGTCTACTGAATGGAGTCTGAACTTGCAGCAGTGTCATATTTGAGAACCTGTGGCTAAAGCTAGAATAAATGTTTCTATTTCTCTGTCTAAAATATAATTCTAACTATACATATTTATATTTCTGCTTTCCATGAACAGGTTGGAAGATGAAAGAGAAAATGGAGTTGGGGAAGAAGGAAAGCACCACTAAGCAGGTTGATTATATTGGTCTCTTCACAGATCTGATGTCCAAAAGTCTTCACACTGAGTGTGGGTGGATGATTTGCTAAAGTGCATACTGGTGAACCTTTCCGTGGGTCTCTATATTGGCATTTTTTCATTTTTTTAAAAAAGATAAATAAGCTGATGGAGTTGAGTCTCCTAAGTTCTGCTATTCAATAACTTTGTGATTGGATAAGCATAAAATGTATAAAAGTACAGAGAATTACAGCTTGGCAAACTTTCTTCCCTTTCTAAGAAGACCCCTGAATGGCCCTGCCTATTACAAATGGTACCTTGTTCATGCCCCTTATACTGACATTTATTGGGATCCCTGGTTTGGAATCTGTACAGTGCTGGATTGGGATTCCACTCTGTGCTATGTACATCATTGCTTTGATTGGAAATTCTCTAATTTTGATCATCATCAACTCTGAGCCAAGCCTCCGTGAGCCCATGTATATCTTCCTGGCCATGTTAGGAGCCACAGACATTTTACTTAGCACCAGCATTGTGCCCAAGATGCTTGGTATTTTTTGGTTTCATTTGCCAGAGATATATTTTGATGCTTGCCTCTTTCAGATGTGGCTCATCCACACATTTCAAGGTATTGAATCAGGAGCCCTGCTAGCCATGGCTCTGGACCGCTATGTAGCAATCTGTTATCCTCTGAGGCATGCTATGGTATTCACTCAACAACTAGTCACATATATTGCAGTTGGAGTGACATTGCGACCTGCCATTCTGGTTATTCCATGCCTATTGCTTATAAAATGTCGTCTGAAACTTTACCGAACCAAGTTAATATCCCACACTTACTGTGAACACATGGCCCTTGTGAAGCTTGCCACGGAAGATGTTTACATTAATAAGTTCTATGGTATCCTTGGAGCTTTTATTGTTGGTGGGCTTGACTTCACTTTTATCACCCTCTCCTATATTCAAATATTTATCACTGTCTTTCGCTTGCCCCTGAAAGAGGCACGACATAAGGCATTTAATACATGTATTCCCCACATATGTGTCTTCTTCCAATTCTATCTTCTTGCCTTTTTTTCATTTTTTAGTCACAGATTTGAATCTTATATCCCATCGTATGTACACATCACCTTATCCAGTCTTTACCTTCTGGTCCCACCGTTCCTCAACCCCTTTATCTATGGGGTAAAGACCAAGCACATTAGGGATAAGGTGGTAAAAATGCTCTGCTTCAAAGACAAGACTTGAAATATGATTGAAATTATTTCTTCATGAATATAATGGTTCATCTATTATTAGACCTACGAGTTCCAGTCAATGGTTTGGGGTATCATGATTGATGAATAAATTAATGTGTCTGTACACACACACACACACACACACACACATTTTCTGGATACATTTATGGAAATGAAATTGCAGTATAAAAAGTTTGTTATATTAATTTTTTGGTAAGTATTGTCATTTCATTTTAGAAAATTTCAGTAGCTTAAACTTCCATAAGCAAAATTCAAGTACGTGTTTCCCCATGTTATATTATTAAAATTTAACCCAAAAATATAAAAAATACATGAGTCCCCAGTTTAATTACTTAAAGTCACATGCTATTATTTTATTTTTAATTCATACTGGATTTCGTTTTTGTGCAAAAAGTGAATCACACAGTTTAACGAAGGAAGCTTAATAGAGAAAATTTTATTTTGCTAGAGTTTTATTAAGTAATTTATCTTTCCATGTTATCCTGTTTCTTTTTCATTTAGTATATTGCCATAGCTTTGTGTATTTATTCCTGACCTTATTTTCTGTCTATCCTTACACCACCATGCTTTACTAGTTTAATTATTAAAGAGTCATAGAATAATTTGATGTCCTAAAGAACAAGTGTTACACGTCTTTCTGGCATTTTTGATTGCAGATATTAATTCTGGAGTCAAACATAATTGTTTGTTTACCAATAGCTTATTTTTCTGGAATTTTCCCTGAAGAAAAACTAGATAATAAAGTAGGAATTAGTACTCCCTGATATGTTTCTCAAGCTCTTGTAATGTTTATAAACAAATGTATGGGACACTTAAGAACTCACTTTACACCATATCAGACGACTTCAGTGAAATTTCCTTCAACAAACTTCTGCTAAGGAAAGCTTATCCTCCTTCTTAAACTTTTCTTTAATGATGCCCTTACACCATCATGATGTGATTTTGTTTTACTCAGTTCAAAGTTATCCAGCAGCACAACACACAAAAATCACTCAATTGGAATAAAAGATGTAAATTTAGGCTGTCATTATCATTTACCTATCAGAGTTTAATAATTTATTTTGAGTCTTTCATTTCTTTTCTTAAAATAGACATTGCACCTTTCCTTTCCCCTTGCCTTTCACAAACATCCACCATCTGACACAGCCACCTACAATAGTGTAGGGGATGCTGCCAAAAGAGGTTAGGTAAAAGCACATTACAACCTGCAAACTATGATTCAGAGATGTCTCCTATCTAAACCCATTATTCAATCAAGCCAGCTTCCATTTGAATGCTTAGAGTCTATAATAATAAAACAAATAAGTATTTCATACCAAACGAAGTAGTGTTGTATAATATGTCAATATTTAAATCTTCCCTGTAATTACTAATTTCTCTATATCTCTTACATCCCCTTTTCTTTCATTTTTTACTTATTTAAAATTATTATTTTTAAGCTTTTCATTGAAGTATATTACACAATTAGAAAAGTGCACTGATCCTAAGAGTACATTTTTCTTTTTTCTTTTTTTTTTTCTTTTCTTTTTCTTTTTCTTGAGCTCAGATCTCTCTACATTGCCCAGGCTAGAGTGCAGTGGTGCAGTCATGGCTCACAGAAACCCGAACTGCCTAAGCTCAAGCAATTTTCCCACCTCAGCCTCTGGTGTAGCTGGAACTACAGATGCATGCTACTAGGCCCACCTAATTATTTTTTTTATTATTTATATAGCTCCCTCTATGTTGCTCAGGCTTGTATAGAGCTTCTGGGCTGAAGCCATCCTCCTGCCTCCACCTTGCAAACTGCTTGTATTACGGGCATGAACCACTGCACCTGGCCATGAATTTTCATATAATGGGCAGACCGAGGCAAAAAAGCATCTAGGCCAAGAAACTTTCATAACATGACCAGTAGAGCAGGAATTCTTCTTCACTTGTTTTCTTGTTTTCACCCACCTTGGATAACCACTATCCTGATTTCTATTACCAAGAGAGCTTTGACTTCTTTAGAAATGTACATAAATGAGATATTGCAGAAAATACTCATTTGTTTGCCTCAACTTTATGTCTGTAAGATTTATCTATATGGTTGCACATAAAAATGAGCGACTCCTTCTCATTGTGTTATGATATTCAATTTTATGAATACTCTACAATTTCTTTACATGCTATATGCTTTTTTATGGGGGGGCAGGTAATATACAACAACTTGCTTCCAAAGTAGTGTTGCTATGAGCATTACTTTACATAGTATTGATAATATATGGCTGTATTTGAAGAAGTATACGTATAGAATAAGAATTGCCAGATCATATGATGTTCCTAAGCTTGATATGAATAGATATTGATAAACTTTTTTCTGAATACTGACTTTGCAAAAAAGTGATTGTACCAATTTGTAAGATTACAAGTGGAATTTTTTTTGCATTTTTGATAAATTATCTTTATAGATATTTATGTGGTAGAGATATTTTGATGTATACATACAACATGTAATAATTAAATAAGGGTATTTGGGATATTCACAACCTAAAACATTTATCATTTCTTTATGTTGAGAAGTTTTCAAATCTTATCTTCTGGCTGTTTTTTAAGTATGCAACATATTGCACTAAGTGTGCAATGTATTAACTATTGTCAACCTACTGTGATATTGAACATAAGAACTTAAGGTGCCAAGATAAATAAAGGTTGGGTAATGAGAATGACATACAACTAAGTTCATTTAAAAATTGCTAGACCATTTTTAAGTGTTGTAGTTGCTTCATATCCTTGCTAGTATTTTGTGTTATCCATCTTTTATTTTCTTGCATGCGTATAGTAGCATCACATTGTGAATTTAATTCAAACACTTTTATTTATGTCAAAGAAGTCATATATATCACTTCTCACATTCTTTTCACCTAAACCCAACCACGCAGTTATAACCAGGGACAGGAGTGAAAGAAAAATGCAGTTTCTAGATGAGTGGCTGTGAGATGAGCTTAAGCTATAGGCTGGTGGAGGTGGAGAGGAATCTGTCACCGGGACAGACATAATTCATACTGGGGAATTGTTAAAGTCGTTTGCACAGTGCAGTGCTTTTGATATAAAATATAAAAAGAGCAAGACATACTATACATTACAAAGAAATGTTGGTACCTTTGAAAATGTACCACACATCAAAATAACAAGAGTGTAAAATATGACTTTAATAGATGTTCTCAGAACCACATGTACAAAATACAAAGAAGTTTAAAAGAAGAGAAAGGTCATGTTCAATGCTAAGGTCAAGGTTTTTGGGGAAAGACATGGTTAATGATATATTTGAGACATTTTTGGAAAATAGATTGTGTGTGTGTGTGTGTGTGTGTGTGTTTTAAGTGAAGATATTTCTTCTCTAAAGGACATTTCTGAAATAATTCAAGCAAAGGCATCCAAGAATAAGAAAAAAGGGATTCATGCTGTTCAATGAAAAGCAACAAAGTTTAGAACTCAGGATGAGTAAGAGAATATATATTGATGTGGAAACAAAGAGGTTTCTACATCAATGCATAATATCTGGCTAAGAGGACGAATTGCAGTGGAAAGCAGCTTTGAAGTCAAGCACACCCATGTTTGATGGTCAGCACTTTTATAGGCTAGTTTGATGCTGTGAAAGTTACTAATTTCCATGAATCTCTATTTCTGCAGTGGACATTTGAGGCAATTAAATCAAATGAATGGGAAATGAAGCATTTAGCAGAGGTTGATAATAAATGTTATGTTCTTGTCAATTCTTTTTTGCTGTTTCTTTGTGTCCTTAAAATTCTGGGGTCCACAGGAAATTTTTTATTTTGATAATTTATTCATTTGATGTACCAAAGTAGAGATTCCAAGTGCAAGAGTAAGGAGAGATGTGTATATAATGCTGGCACAATTTATGCCCTACCATCATAGACAATGTTTCATAAGCTAGTTGAATTTATTATTTATATTGTTCTCATTCATTAATAGTAACATTTTTTACCAACAATTTTCAATAAATAATGAAAAATAACTATAATGCTGTGGGATCTGTAATAAGTTCTGATGATGATATACAGATGATTGGATATAGTGTCTAGACTCAATAACATTTTACTAAGTATTAAAAGACCACTTAGATAAATAATGTCTGGAGTAGACTCCCAGCAAACTGCAGCATCCCTAAGGAGGATGGGTCTGACTATTAAAAGAAAAACAAACAAACAGAAACAACAACAACAAGAGGACCAATAAAAACATCCACAAAAAGACTCCATCCAAATGTCAGCAGCCTTAACAATTGACGCTAGATAAACAAAGATGAGAATCAGTGAAAAAAATGCTGAAAACTCAAAAACCAGAGTGCCTCTTCTTCTCCAAATGATTGCAACACCTCTTTTGCAAGGGCACAGAACTGGGCAGAGTCTGAGATGGCTGAATTGACAGAAGTACCCTTCCAAAAGTTGGTAATAACAAACTTTGCTGAGCTAAAGCAGCGTGTTCTAACCTAATGCAATGAAGCTAAGAGCCATGATAAAACATTACAGGAGTGACTAATCAGACTAACCTGTATAGAGAGGAAAATAAATGATGGAGCTGAAAAACACAACACAACAACTTTGCAATGCAATCACAGGTACCAATAACAGAATAGACCAAGCAGAGGGAAGAATTTCAGAGCCTGAAGACTGTCTTGCTGAAATAAGACAGACAGACAAGATTAGAAAAAATTGAAGGAAAAGGAATGAACAAACCATTTGAAGAGATGGAGAAAATGGAACCAAGTTGAGGGATAACACTGGGAGAAATGACTGATGTAGGTGATGGAGGGATGGAGGCAGCAAACCACCATGGCATGCGTGTACCTATGCAACACTCCTGCAAGATCTACACATGTACTCCAGAACTTAAAGTATAAAAAAAAAAAAGAAAGAAAAAAGGAAAACATACTTCAGGATATCATCCAGAACTCTCCCAACCTAGCAAAACAGACTAGCTTTCAAATTCAGGAAATACAGAGAACCC